CTGATACAGACAATAAATAAACTTCCTGAGACCGAAAGCTTTTTTACACATGTAAGTTTGGAGATATGAGGGGAATAAACCCACAATAGACTTCTAAACAATGATATGCCAATGCTTGAGCCTACGAGTGGACAAAGCAGACCATCCTACCCAAGTATACAACACACAATGATGAGTGAGGGATTTAAGGGGTTTTCATTTGCCCAGCAAACAACATCCACTCTATATACAGTACTTAACATAATTGAGTACACCCCATTTTAAAAATTAAAATTTTAATCCATTTCTCAGTGAATATAGGCAGTGTATTTTGGCATTTAAAAATTTATTTATTAAACCAATATATTTATTTGAATGATATTTTAGCCACCAAACCTATTTAGAGATTGAAAGATAATACAATTAAATCCAAGCAAAATAAATTACAACCAACAAAATTTTAACAATTTTTTTTATTTTGTTTTGCTTCTCTTGATTTTTCCTCTTTTTTTATTTGTGTTTAATATTTTTCCATAATATATAAATTTGGGTGTACTTGTTTTTGGAGCATTATCATAATTTATTTTGTTAGATTAGCTCCAGATTTGGCTTCAGTACTGATTAATCTAATGTATATGCACAAATATAATATTATAGCTTCCTATTAAAAATATGAACATAAAAGATAGATTTGTGAGGGGTGTACTTATATATGCTGAGCACTGTAGTAAATTCTTAATTTAAAGCTTCCGAAATGTAAATGCAGATGAACAATTTCTGATATCTTAAACAACATTCTAGTTAGAATTATTTTTATTAGTAAGTAGAGAATTTTAACACACAAAAGATATTTTATTAAATGAAAAGCATTTATTTATTAAAATTTTATGAACGTTAAATGATTCATTCAACTATCATTTCCAAAAAAAAAAAAAAAAAGAATGTTTATTTTCAAAAGTCAGTTCAAGTTATTTTTAGAACTAGTTCCTAACATTCCAGGAATGTTCTATTTAGAATTTATTTTTTAAACCGATCCACAGAACATTAATCTGTGACATGTTTATGATTTGCACAATATTAAACCTTAAATACCTCTTTTGCACACCCTTATCCTGCACAAATACAGAAATATCCAGCACAACATTATTCAATCTCATGTAAAGTACTTGTATAGCCTGTCTTATGTGTATAGTTACGTATCTTACAGTATATGTAATGCAAAGGATTTTTAATAGCTCTTAAGTCCAGTGTTGTGTTTGTATTTATGATTAAATTATATAGCACCGTCGTCCTGCAAGAAAACATGTCCACACATAGCGGAATGGCAATAAAGCTCGACCTGACTTGATTGTTCCAAATGTAAAGTTCACAGTGAAAACCAAATTTCAGAGGTCAGATTTTTCAGAGAATAAAAAGAAAACAAATCTTTCCACTTTTAAATAAACCTACAATGGAAAAATTCCATGGGTGTTAAAGGTTCTTCCTGGACCCATCAATGCCAAGAAAGAGCCTTCATTTCCAAGAGTATTCCCTAAACAAACACACACACTGCATTTAGAAGGTAACTATGATATAGGCCTTTTGTGTGAGCGTGTTTTTTATAGAAGGGGAGAGGGAGAGGAGGGTGTCCCTCTTGATACGTCCACTGCATACTGGATTCACGCTCTGCTTTGGATCAAACGCTCTCTGCCGATTAGCTACACAATCAGGTCCCCGCAGTAAACGGGGGAGAGTAAGACAGAGAGAGGCGGTTCTTTTCCACCGGACAATGCCATTATTTAAGCTCCATTGGTCAGGAATGCCGGATTTTACAGACCGCTGCCCTCCTCTAGGCGTCAACCAAAGGGCCTCCGCACTGAGGGCCCCCCTCCTCTCTCTTCTCGGGTCACCATATCTGTCCCAGAGACCTATAGCTTTCTCAGTGCATTCCACAGTTGCTTCTCTAAGCTGTCGTCTCTGAGACTCTACAAAAATCAGCAGGCCCGTCAAACCCTTACAAAGCAGGAGGCTCAGCAAAGACAACTAGAATCTGTGTTTTCTTTCCACACTTATTTCTACTGTCTAGTTTATGTTTAATGTAACAAAGTAGGTTAGGTTCATAACTAAACCAATAATTAAATCAAATGTACTGAAAGTTTTTAAAATGTGAGTTTATGCTGTAGTGCAAATTCCCTAATTTAAGATGAAAAGCTTGTGAGGGTATTAAGAAACAAACAAACTTTAATTTAAATCCATAATAGATTATGAGAGTATGATAAAAAATAAAATTAAAAAGCAAAAATCCTCTATGAGCGAGTCTTTCTGGTTGTTGTAGGCTACTAATTTTGCTTCTTTTTTTTGCTTCAGTTGTCTCATTTTAAGCTTAATTGTATGATAATAATTGAATTTAGGTTCCAAATGCTAATTAAACTGCATTTAAATTCCTTCAGGAATTCAGATTAATTATTTTTATAAAGTTCTGTGCGTAATAGGCGTTCGCCATTAAATAGTTTGTCCATGCTGCATGGGGTTTGATAAGCGCGTTCATGTAACCTGCTAGCCTACTTTATAACTGCACTTCATGTAGTCTTTCAATCTAGCATAAGAAGAAATTTGTGAATGGAGAGCAGAATTTGACTGTTCATTGTTAAACTAAAACTATACCATGACGTTTCACTCGGAGGAGCCTATCGCGGGTTTCGCGAGACAGTTAAATGCCTTTGACTTCAACCAATGGTCCTTCAAGCGGCAAAGACTAGCGCAGAAACGCGCCAATGGCAAAGGCGCATGCAAATGAGGAATTTGCTTCAGCAAGAGCTGAATGTCAACTAGTCAAAGATGGAGTCTTGAGGAAAGAGGGCCATTGGCTTGCCATGGATAAATTACGGTTTTGATTTTTCAGACCATGCGGAGAAAGAACGCGCGAGCATGGCGAGATGGCACCATGCTAAGCAGGATGAACGCGAAGACATTTGGAGAAATTCGCGCTCCTTGCCTTGTAACCCTTCGGTCCAACTTTTTCTCTTTTTGTCGGTGTCTTCTGCTTTCAAGGATTGTCCCTCCCTTGGCCAGGTACCATTCATGAAATTTAGGGGGTCCTCTTTCTGTTAGTGAGTAGCATCCGGGTGATTTGGTGGAAATGGCGGGAGCTCAGGGGTAAAAACGACAGCGTTGAGTCGGCTTGGGTGGGGAGAACAACGAATGGGGTGCCAATGAAGCCCCCGAACATGGCTGTAGTTAGAAACGAGAAGCGCGCGCGCTGGTGAGGATATCAGGAGGGCATCGCGTTTGAGAAGTCTTGTCTGTCAGTCAGTCAGAGAGAGCAGTTTCCTTTCTTTCTCATCTATTGTCATCAGTGTTGATCTGTTGAAGCCACCTGGTTGGGGATTTAGTCCGAGGAATTCATGTAAAGCATGCAACTTCACCATATCCCCCAAGAAGCCAATGATTAACTTGCTAAATGCTCTGAAAACCTAATATGTATTTTCCACGTGTTTTCCTTTTCTTTTCTCTATGCAGTCTATATATGTGCATTTGTAATAAAGTAGGGCAATACAAATACATGTAAACCCATGTGAAAGAGAATTTTAAAATATATATAGCAGAAGCAGGTTGAAATTAATTTCAACAGAGACTAAATTGTATTTTCACCATTGTAATTTTGGTGCAACTGCTGTGTTTTTGATACATTGTTGAATGCATTTAAATCGAGGCTTTGCGTGTGTGTTTGTTGTGTTGGGGGAAATTTTTTTTAATTTCTGTTTCAATTAATGTGTCAAATTGCACTGGATGTTTGCACGAGGTTCTGCATAAATGTGTGTTTCTTTATGTGTGTAATCTTAAAAAAAAGTACAGTTCGGATTAATCTCCACATCTCAGCCCAAAATAGACTAATTGCTTGTTTTAGGAAAAAAAAATCCGTGTTTTCCCACCCAAGTGTCCAAACCACTAATGTATGCATTGAAAATAACAACCTTAAGGAGCCCCCGCCCCCCCTCACCTTGTCCCCTAACCAGGGGGGTTTCAAATTGCCACCTTGGCAGAGGGGAAAAAAATAATACGTATTAAACGAAGGTTTCTCATATACAGAATCGCGGAATGTGCTCTTTGCCCTATTTTCCTCTCTTCCTTGTGTCTCCAAAGCGACGTTTTCAACGATATTTATTTATTTATTTATGCTGAATTTGAGTAAGAAAAGAAACAAAAGCTGTTAAATGTAAGCCAGATCTTGCTTGGTTTTGTTTAAATACATGTGTGTTGTTTTCCTCAGCTTAACAACAATCAGCATGCTTCAGTTGGAAGGTTTGAAGATTTTTAATTTGTTGTATATGTTTGCCCTCCATTACGCCAGATTTATTTTAGACTTGAGCGTAACACGAACTGCTTAAATTGTTAAAATAACATCGTTTGATTTAGACCACAATCAGAGATTTCTATGCTAATTGCTGGCTCTGTTAGGCACGTGTCATTTTGATAAATCAGTTTAAAGCATAATGCGTTCAGTTTCTTTACTGTTGTTGTTGACCAGGGCCCTTTTTCTGTTGTACTACTGTGCAGTCAGATGAGCAGTGCAATATTAAAAGGGCATTGGCTGACAAAAAAAGAGGAAAGAAAGAAAAGTAACCTCCACCCCTCCCCTTTCAAGTTCTCCCACCCTCAATTCGTCTTTATGTCGGTCTAAAATTTGTTATTAATATAACAGGTGTAATTTAATTGATTCTGTAAAATAGCATTATGGCGTATAAACCATGTCGCTGCTCAAATATAGAATAAGCATGTATACTTGGCCTACTATATAAGGCAACATGCATGCAGACGCGCTTGGCTTGCGTAAAATAAAATAAAGCGTAATACTTTTACGCTGATGATTAAACAGTCGTGTAGATTTATTTACTAACGTCAAGCATGGTCAAGCATAATTGGTTAATATTTATACTATTTCATATATTTACTCGACTAAAATGCAACTAAGAGGAAGGATTTCGGCCCTTTTAACTTATTCGAGGCCTGTTGAAAGATGGCCCATGCTTTTCGGCTGTGCTAAGGTCTGTTGCTTTGACGATGTTGCACTACTGAACCATCTAATCAAGCAGTGCAATAGTATTGTCATTGCATTCGGCTTTCGCCTACTCACCCACTATACAGAGCTGGGGAGAGCGGTGTATGGTTAAGGGCGTATTCAATAATATTTCAACTAGAGTCTAGACCACCTAGATGCATGGGCCCAGATGTGTGCTGCGATATTGGATGTCCTCCATGCTTAACAGCATTGTTGCAGCGCATGCAGCAGGCGTGTGAACTGCAGATTTTGACCTATGGTATATCTGTGACACCAGGTTTTTCCACTTATTTGAAAATGCCCACAGACCACGCCTCCTTCGAAAGAACATTTTGTACGACTGAGGTCGTCTTCGTTTGCATTGAAAACCACGTGTTCGATTAAGTAACACTCCAACAATGCTTTGAAGTGAGTTTCTCAACCTTTTGCATATTTCGGGAACTTCTGTATGAGGCCTGCTGACAGCGAGGTGCAAAAAAAGCAGTGAATTATACCCAGCAAACGTAAATAACGCATTGTAAATGTTTGTTTTTTTGTCGATGCGTAAATGTTACAAGCGCACTAAATGTTTATAAAACACTAAATATGATTCATTATGATGTTTATTTAAAGTTTAATTACTGTCCCTTTCAGCTTTAAATATGCTAAATATGTGTGTTGAATTTTTTACTTTCTCAATTACCTACTTTTGGGGGAGCTATTACATTCCTAATGTAAAATGTAATATATAATTTTGAGTGTTTGATGATTTATTTATTTTTAATTTACATGCAATCAGAGTGCAACTGCTTTGCACTTATATATTTGTATTTCAAAATCAGAAAGTTGAGCTATTTTTATATTCGGCGCTAAACATTTATAATTATTATTGTTATTATCATTATTATTTACACTCACACCGAAATATGTACTAGTGTCGTTGGAATTGTGCAGTTTGATGCAAAACATAAAGAACCACTAGTGTTACGATCTACCCATAATATGCAGAGCTGGTAGGTGTGTTACAATATATTTAGATTTTTATTTATAATGAAGGAGCTCTTCCAGAAGGCAGAAGGAAGGGATGATTCTCTTGTTTGAGCCAGATCGGTGGGGGATGGGACTATTTGTAAGGAATGTAGGGGGCAGGTCCCTTTCCAAGAGGGGAGGAAAGGGAGGGAATGTGAGGAGGGTAGGTCGCCCATAGTGACATTTTACTCATGGTCAGTATCTGTAAGGTTATGCAAGTTGGACTTTTTGGTTGTCTCATCAAAAGAGTGGACGTCTGCCCATAAAAAGGTCATCAATTGGTTGCTTATACGTAAGCAGTTCGGTGTGTGTGTGTGTGTGAATAGGCGCAATACACACTTGCGTATAGGCGCCTATGTACGAGTCAATGGCGTGCCGTATAGGCTACATTTCTTTAAATAATAGGCTAATGAAAAATTAAATGCTAAAAGGGCTTTTTTTAGACACCCCCAAATGTCTTCTTAGAACACTATTTAAATATAGGTCTATTTATTTTTGATATTAGAATATTTGTAAAATTTAAAAAATAATTTAATGGCGAAAATAATTGTAACAAATCAGTATTATTATTAATATTCGGGTGTAGTCGTTTTGGATTATTTATTTAATAATAATGTCCCATGTAGGAACCATTTCGTTGTCATGTGACATGAAAAATTGAGACTATAATGTAAAATCTCAGTTAGACTGCAGTTTATTAAAACCACGTGTTTTTGTTTAATTTGTTCAAACGAAGTTAATTTTTGACGATTAAACGTTAATATAATGGCTCATAACAGTTTTATCAAAATCAGTAGGCCTATTGCCGTAGTCTTGAATAGTCCTTTATTATTATTTCTTATCCCAACCAATATTTGGAAACCATTTTGTTATCAAGTGACTACAGAAAAGAAAGAAAAAATGAAGTACAGGCCTATTTACTCCTGACTTGATTATTATTATTTTTAAATATGGAAAATGTGCGTCTTGTATAATTTAGTCTATATACAACGACTGAAATTATTTTAATAAAATCAGATTTTGCATAAATAAACTGGTAGGCCTATAGTTATTATATCGTGCGTTCTAACAACAGATTGAGTAAATATCCCTATAAATAGTGTAACCAACATGAGTAATATTGTTGTCAAATGACTAGAAAAAACAGAGATGAATCGTTTAAACTAGACAATCACTCGGGTTTTTAAAATACATGTGATTTTATATTAAAAAAAAGTTTTATGTAGGCTACATTCGTTCGAGGCCTAACCATACGAAAAGAGCACAGAAAACGTCCCAAGAAATTTGTATTTATTAATTTGATGTTTAGGCTACTTTCACGCACACATTGAGCACCCTAAGAAAAATTACATTTAAATGTATGGATACGCCACATTTTAGTAAAAAGGAAAAAAAGCATGGCAACTTTGGAGCTTGATATAAGCTACTTGGTCTTAAACAAGATTTTTCATCGTGTCAAACATGTGACGTTGACTCATAGCCTATATACTGCGTTTTCAAAGTAGAAGGTAAAATTGACACTCACCGGTCTGAACTGGGTGTATGAGGAATGTTGCGCTAAATACCGCAACGCGCATGCGCAGCGTATTCATAAGGCACTATATAGCATACTGAGGCCTACTACAGCTCCTCTGTTCTCATGATCCTGGTCCAGCACTGAACTAGACAGCTTTGCAGCTTCATTTGAAGGCACCTTTTGGTGGTAAGTTTGCTTTTACCTGCAGATAGTAACTAATTCTTTATCTTACGTAGGCTTTGAAGAATATAAATACGCAACGTTAATACGAATTCGGCATATTTTCATAGTAACATAATTTAACAGCGCGTATTGTTTTTATCCTGCAGACACTACTAGTGTGGTCCCTCTATTATACACACGTTAAGGGCGCCGTTTTCTCGCCCTATTCTCATAATTCCACATTTTCACTGCATGTAACTTGATTGGTAAATTGTTTAACGTGTTTTATTACCGAGGGGGGCAAGTAAGATCATGCATGTGAGTTCAATGCGAAATTCCCAAAGGAGAAAAAAAACATCCTGTTGGAGCATGTCGTTAACTCCAAGGCAGAAGCTGGTATGCGAAGAATTGCAAAGCACCAAGACTGCTTTTGGACGCAGATAACCAAAGGGCCTACAATATGCCTCCATTCACATCTGAAAGCCTGAGTCAGTCCACAAGCACATCTATAGAAGAACTGATGTCTTTATTAATGGCATGCGTTTATTGTAGTTATCTTGGAAATATGATTGTTTTTAAGTAGCTTTTTTTTAAAATGCTAAATGTGATGTATATAAAAAAGAGACAGAGCAGATATGTTTATTATATGGGTAATTAACAAATACAGGCAGTAAAAGTGTTTTTGTAGAAAAAAACATGTAGTTTGAAGTCTGTTGTTTGAGAACATGCATTTATAAAGGGTCATTGGCTATGAATTCTTTTGGCTTATTTATATATATATATATATATATATATATATATATATATATATATATATATATATATATATATTTCAAATATACTCTAAATAATATTTGACATGTCTTCATATAGCACTCTTTATTTTATATGAAATTGTGAATAATATATTTGTTCCACTACTTGCCGAGCTTGTTGGTGAATAATATACTCTAAATAATATACAAATAGTGTCAATCATTTATCTACGATTATCTTCATATATTACTATTTATTTTATGTGAAATTGTGAATTATATATTATTTTCTTAACTACTTGCTGGGCTTGTTGGTGAGTAAATGGCTCTAAATAATACACAAAGAGTGTCAGTCATTTATCTACAGTGCTCAACATAATTGAGTACAGCCCATTTTGAAAATGAATATTTTTATCCATTTCTTAGTGAATATAGGCAATGTATTTTGGTGCATTTAAACAAAACAGATTTATTAAACAAATATATTTATTAAAATATTATTTTAGTCACCAAACATATTTAGAAATTGAAAGATAATACAATTAAATTCAAGCAAATTATCGCCAAAAAATTACAAACTACAAAATTTCAACTAAATTTTTCAATTCTTTTTTGCTTCTCTTAATTTTTCCTCTTTTGAAATTTAGTATTTAATATTTTTCTCTAACATAAAAATTTGGCTGTACTAGTTTTTTGACTTTTATCGCAAGTTATTTAGTTAGATAAGCTCCAGATTTGGCTTCAGTACTGACTGATCTAATGAATATGCACAAATATAATTTTGTATAGCTTCCTATTCGAAATATGAATTTAAGAGAGATATTTTTGAGGGGTGTACTTATGCTGAGCACTGCACATTGTTGGACACTTATATTCATATAGTGCTGTTTATATCAAATAAAAAAATGAATAAAATTATCATTTTTTCCACTACTTGCCAGGCTTGTTAAGACATTTTCAGTAAATAGGGGTGTGACACCAAAGGACAACAAAACTTAACAATTTTATGTAAATAATGTGTGAAAAATTCTGACATAAACTTAACAGGTGCACATCATGGGCTTCACAAGCGCTTCAGTCACATGATCTTGAATGGGGTCCTTCAACTAATTAAGGTCTTCAGTGGAATTGCCTGATTTAAAAGTAGCATATCTTGTCACACCAGTGGACTTTCAGTGACAAAATGTAACAAGCTCTTGTGTTTTTGGATATATATGGACAAAAATGGCCATTTACTAAAACAGCCACTCATAAAATTAGGCCTGAGGTGTTTATTATTGACTTTATGATTTACAAAGTGTTGTAATTTATTAAACTGTGCTTGAGGCAGGCACACCATAGAATAGTTTTGAGATTTGCCTAAAAATTTAATAATGCAGCAGCTTTATAACAAACCTTAACCTGCATTTAAATAAAGACAATACTACTTATATACATTTTGTCACGTGTAACAGTGAAAATGCAACCTTATGTTAATGACCCATGTATGAATATACATCAGTCTTAATGTCTTTGCAAATGGACATTCAATTTCAAGGTAATTACACTAAAAATGCTGGGTTAAACAATAGTTTTGTATTAAATTAACTTAATAGTTTTTACAAATTGAAGTGGATCGAACTTTTAAAAAATTAAGTTTTCCCAAAAAAACATCAAGAACTGTTGTTTTAGCTTATTTTAAATACTAGTTTGAATGCGAACATCTTTTTTGGGGGTGTGTGTGTATATATACAGTTGAATTCAGAATTATTAGCTCCTCTTATTTTTATTTTTAATATTTCCCAAATGATTTTTAACAGAGCAGGGACATGTTCACAGTATGTCTGATAATATTTTCTCTTCTGGAGAAAGTCTTATTTGTTTTATTTAAGCCAGAAGAAAAGCAATTATTAATTTTTAAACCCAATTTTAAGGTCAAAATTATAATCCCCTTTAAGCTGTATGTTTTTTTGATAGTCTACAGAACAAACCACAATAACTTGCCTAATTACTTTAACCTGCCTAGTCAACATAATTAACCTAGTTAAGTCTTTAAATGTGACTTTAGGCTGTAAAGAAGTATCTTGAAAAATATCTAGTCAAATATTATTTACTGTCATCATGGCAAAGATAAAATAAATCAAGTATTAGAAATGAGTTATTAAAACTATTGTTTAGAAATGTGTTGAAAAAAAAATCTTCTCTCCGTTAAGCAGAAATTAGGGAGAAAAAAATAAGAGGGGGGCTAATAATTCTGACTTCAACTGTATATGAGGTATTTATTAATGATTTTACGATTTTCTTTTTAATTTCTAAGTGTTGTAATTTATTGAACTATGCTTGAAACAGTTACACCATCGGACAGTTTAGAGATTTGGCTAAAAAAAAGAGGACCAAGACAAAAAATTGTTTAAGCATTTACTGCATTTAAATTTAAATTGAAAACAATTTTAATTAAATTAATTTGTGTCATGTTTGATTGACTGAAAATCCAATGTCACGTCAACAACACATGTATGATTATACATCAGTCTTAATTTCTTTGCAAAAGGGCATTCAATTTTAAGTTAATTAAACTGTAAAAATGCTGGGTTAAACAATAGATTTGTATTGAATAAAGTTAACTTAATAATTTTAACAAATATAAGTGGACTGAACTTATAAAAAATTAAGTGGTCCCAAAAACTCAAGAATTGTGTTGTTTCAGCTCATTTTAAATAAATGGTTTGAACAAGAAGCAAACATTTTTTTTCAGTGTGTGTGAATATGAAATATTTATTAATGATTTTATGACTTTCTTTTAAATTTCTAAGTGTTGTAATTTATTAAACCATGCTTGCATAACTGCAGCTTTGAGATTTGACTAAAAAAGAGGTGCAAGACAAAAATGTTTAACCATTTACTGCATTAAAATGAAGACCATACTAATTATGTACATTTTTGTCGTGTGAGAGTGAAAATGCAATGTCGCATCAGAAACCCATGTATGATTATACGTCATCAGTCTTAATACTTTCCTTCTGACATTCAATTTGAAGGTAATTACACTGTAAAAATACACATGATCGATTTGTATTGGGGCAACATGAAGGAATTAAGTTTTCAGTTTTAATTCTTTTAACTGGATTGAACTTAAACCAATTAGGTTGTTCCAAAAAACCTTTAAGAACTGTGTTGTTTGAGCTTATTTGAAATAAATAGTCTGAACAAAGAGCAAACATAATTTTTTGAGTGTGTTTTTATATATATATATATATATATATATATATATATATATATATATATATATATATACCCACTGTCTATTTAAGCAGGTAAATAAACGCACTTCTGCTTTGTACCATTGACTTTTGGCTGGTTTGTTTGTAGGCTGTTCCTCACTGTGAAGGGTCAGATGTCACAAAGAGGATTGCGTATCATGTGTTGTAGAGCAGGAACCATTTTCAGTCTGTAAATTCCCAGATCGTGTGTTTTCCAGAGCCGTGTTATCCCCCCCAAAGTGCTTCCTGATTATCATGATAAATGCATCTTGCAGGCGAGACCCTATCAATATTGCCTCTGCTTTTCTCACTGTTTATGGAGTAGTGCAATATTGCTTATAGGGTCTTGACTTTAAGGCTAATCTGCAATATCAGCAAACATTGAAGGATTGTCATTTTTATTCATATGTGCAGTGATTTCATGCAAAGGCTTGACAAGATCTCAATTTCTCTTCTTGTAGGGCTCTAAACAATTGCATTTGAAACACGATAAATAACACCTGTTTAATATTAAAACTAAACGGCCCACAAATATTTTGATGTGGTTGTATATGGTAGGCTTGCTTTCAGCAATGCAAACTTAAAGTGAATCATGCCATTCACGTTTTTAAAGCTAATAGGAATTCTATCATTAGGTCAAAGAACATGCTGTTTTCGCGAGTAATTTAAGTTATAACATATAGACTTAATTTCAACCCTGCATTGTATCTGTAAAGTGGAAGTCTGTTATTTCTGCTTGTCGTCTTTTGTGTTTTTGATAATGCTCATATTTCCTGAACATGCATGTGGTTACCATGCTGTTACCTTCCTGTATTCTCAGGTCAATGGGAATAAATGACTCCACTAGACTTGTACTAGACTTTAAAATAGAGCTCAGAAACCTTTGCCTTCTTTTGGCCATAATATTTTTCGATTTGTTTGTAACTCTTAGTCAACGTTTCTGATATGGATTATGGGTGAAATTTAAATCTTAATTTATATAGTAAGTCCATACTGTTTTACAAAGATGAGATTTTAGTGTCTGCATCCAAATAAAAAAATTAAAAACTAAGTAATAAGATATAATAATACTTATTACTATCTACAGTGCTCAGCATATAAGAGTACATCCCATCTTGAAAATGAAAATTTGTATCCATTTCTAAGTGAATATAGCCAATGTATTTTGATGCATTTGAAAAAAACTGATTTTTTAAATGGATATATTTATTAAAATAATATTTTATTCCCAGAGCGTCTTTAGAAATAGAAAGATAACACTTGTCGTCTTTTGTGTTTTTGATAATACTCATATTTCCTTAACATGCATGTGGTTACTATGTTACTTTCCCCGTATTGTCAGGAATAAATGACTCCTAGACTTTAGAATAGAGCTCAGAAACCTTTGCTTCTCTGTTGGCCTTAATTATCTATTTTAACATTTTAATTTTAGGTTTTATTGAACAGTTAGTGGCAATTCATTCAGGTGTGACAACCTCTGATGAGTAAAGAGATTAAGAAGAGATGGAAATGAAATAAAATTAACTGTTAGTCAACGTTTTTGATTATTGACATTGGTCAAACTTAAATTGTAAAATATAGTAAACGCAAATGTCCAAACTGTTTTACAAAGATGAGGTTTAAGTGTCTGCAATAAAAAAAAAAATAAAAAAAAAAAACGAAGTAAAATAATAATAATAATAATAATAAACATAATAGTAATTCTACGTATATATGTGTACGTCCTATTTTGAAAATCTACATTTCTTATCCATTTCATAGTGAATATAGAAGATATATTAGAATGCATTCATCAACAAAAACAAATTTAAAACAATATAAATATATATAAAACATAAACACAATAGTTGTGTGTATAAATAGTTCTATTCATATATTATATATCATATATTCATTGAGATAATATATTTGGTACAGAATGTCTTTTAAAAATAGAAAGATAATACATTTAATTAAAACGAAATATAGCAAATATAAACTCAAATTTCAACTAAATTTAATATATATACTTATTATTATTATTATTATTGTGTAAAATTATTTTTAAAAATTCCCTAACATCTGGGCTATTAGTTTTTGTGATCAAAATATGGGAAATGGATCAAAATATTCATTTTCACTATGGACTGTACTCAGTTATGCTGAGCGCACTGTATATGCACAAATAAAATATTGTAATATTACTATGAAATTCATTTAAAAGGATAGATTTGTGTGAGGTGTACTAATTTATGCTGAGCACTGTACATGGGGAAAAGTTTCTATATTTGTTTCAAATGATTTTTGTGACTAAAATTAGATGTGTAACTATTTTCCATTGTCATGTAACAATGCAACAGAATAAAACAATATACATATTAATAAAACAACACAAAGAAAATATAATAAAATTGAATGTTATTAAAATGTACAATTTATACTATTTGTAATTGTTGTCTTCCCAGTGATGGGTTGCAGCTGGAAGGGCATCCGCTGTGTAAAACATATGCTGGATAAGTTGGTGGTTCATTCCGCTATGGGGACCCCTGATTAATAAAGGGACTAAGCTGAAGGAAAATAAATTATTAAATATAATTGTTGACAAATTAGTAAAACCTAGTGGTTTGAAGGATAATATTCAGATATAAAATGACAACTAATTAGTATTTTAGGCCTGCACTCTGATCCATAAATTGTGGCTTTTAGTATGTAATCAAATGAATCCTGTTTTAAATATGACTGATATTTACGGAGACATTTTACTAGGTGTCTGCTGTAAATCATAGCAAAAATGTTTGATAATCATCCTTTTTGTAACTCTTTTAATTGCTTCTATTGCTTCACGTGTAAATAAAACCTTTACCATTGACTGCTGAACATAAACCAAATGTGCTTTTCATTAATATACTTTAAATACTACTATGGTGCAGTTAAGTCTTAACAGTAAATCGATGTAAAACCAGTTAAAAGCAGCATTTCCTTATTCAATGCATCAGTACAACAAAAATCTAGCTCTTAGTGCAGTTATCATTTAGTTCATGTCATCATAATCCCATAATCAATAGGTTCACCTTGAGTGATTCTGCGTGTGTTACAGTACAGAGATCTGAAGAATGGCCATGATTTAAATAGAGAGAGATGACGGTAAAGCTTTTCATATGTCGCTCAGAGACTGACAGGTGTATTTTCAAAGGATGTTGAACAAGTGTGGGTTTTTTTCCATCCCGTTTTTGAAAGTGCTTGAAAATGGCTGTTTTGTGAGAACCCTATATTACGATGCATGTTTTTTTTATTATTGATGTCTGTTGCCTGACACTCTTTCCCTGTTGCACTACTGTGGGAGCTGCAGCAAAGCAGTGCAATAATGAAAGGGCATCAGTCCACTGGACCAGACCAGCAAACACACACACATACACAGACACCTATGGCTAATCTCAAAGGCTCGCTCTCACTCAGCTGATTCGCAGAGCACTTATATGTCCATACATTGCTGTTTGTTTGATTTTGACCTGCCATGTACTTGTCTTTAAAAATAAAAGCAAAGAAAGCATTCAATAATTAAACTGTTTGGTTTTTGTCTTATTTAAATTGTATTAAATGCAGTATTGTTTGTTTTGCTTGCCTTGTGTATTATAGGTTTATTATATGCACAACACAGTGCTGTTTTAGTGTAAAATCTTTATATTCTGAGTGAATCGGAAGTTGCTGAAACTTTTATTTCAGTATGTTGATGTACTTGTATTTGCACGCACTTTTAATTTCAGCCAGCCAGTCTCAGGTCTTTCCATTGTAAATTTGTCACATTTAAGGTCTGATTTCTGTAAAAATAAGTGATCTTCACTGCCTGATAGCTATACAATATGAATTAAATTACATTTCCCTCGCCATGTCATTAATATTCATTCACTCATTTACTTTTTGGCTTAGTCCCTTTACTAATCTGGGGTCTTCACAGCGGAATGAACCGCCAACTTATCCAGCATATGTTCTACGTAGCGGATGCCCATCCAGCTGAAACCCATCACTGGGAAACATCCATACACACTCAATCACACACATACACTACGGACAATTTAATTTAGCCAATTCACCTATACCACATGTCTTTGGACTTGAGGAATCCGGAGCACCCGGAGGAAACCCACGCCAACATGGGGAGAACATGCAAACTCCACACAGAAATGCCAGCTGACCAAGCCGGACCTCAAACCAGCGACCTTGCTGTGAGGCGATTGTGCTACCCAATGCATCACCATGCTGCCTCTGTCTTTTAAAATAGGAGTTTATTTTACCCAAGTATTATCAATGGAGTTTCTGCGCACACCTGCTGATCATGACTGTGCTAGCGCGGTTTTTCATCTCGTTTTATGCTTGAACAGCCAAATTAATGCTTAAGTCTATTTAACCAAATGTATTGTAATGAAATTAAAACCACGATGCTGTAAAAAGCCACATTAATTATTAATATTAATTTTGAAAAACAGTAGCTTTGCATATAACCCACTAAAACTGAATATCGAGTAGGGGGCGGGGCTTTTTTGCACATAACCTTAAATGGTAAGAGGGGTGTGGTTAAGAATATTGATGGAAAACTGAGGTCATTGACAACAGGTTTTTTTAATGAATTACTTTTAATTTATTTCGGAATATTACATAACTGTAAGTCCAAAACATTTTTCCCACTGTTATGAGAGCTATAACATCAGGAATTTCTATGCTCTTTAAAATTAGCTTCCATCCCACTCCTAAAAAAGCTTTTTTTCTGATCCGACAGAGACGTTTGTGGGTAAAATTAGTTTGTCTAATAAAAATGAAATAGAAATGACAAAGTTATATCTCTTTTTTTATTGAAAATGTTGTTAAATTGTTTCCTATCATGTCTTATTGAAATAATATATACAGTTAAGGCCAGAAATATTTGCCCCCGTTTATTTTTTTTGTCCTCAATTTCTGTTTAACTTTTTTTTTTCAACTGATTTTTCTTTGCAATGATGACAACAAATAAAATGTGACTAGATATTTTTCAGGACACTTCTATACAGCTTAAAGTGACATTTAAAAGCTTGACTAGGTTAATTAGGTTAACTAGGCAGGTTACGGTAATAAGGCAAGTTATTGTATAATGTTGGTTTGTTCTGTAGACTATCGAAAAAATATATAGCTAATAAAATTGAATAATTTTAAGGCTATAAATATTTTCATACAGGTCTTTTTGTTGTTTATTATTATTATTTTAAGTTTGTCAAATTCCAAAAGAGCTAAAACTTAAAATGCTGGGTTGTTTTACCCTATGTTGGGTCATATGGACAAACCCAATGCTGGATTGATTAAATTAAATTAATAGTGGGATACAGCTTTATTTTTTACCCCATCAGTAGAATGTGTCCTTTTATC